TCGAGAGGGAGCACAGAGGCGATCAAAGTTAATTTGAACACCTCCCTTTCCTCCTTCTATTCTCCACTCACACCTTCCCATCTGACAGCACTTGGGCAGCACAGGGAACAACCTCACCCCGCGGGGCTCCTCCGAGCCGATCTGCACCAGCGGCTCCCGCTGCAGCGTGCAGGGCTGCTTGAAATGAAATAATGTCACATTCCTCGCCAACAGACGGAACTGACAGCAAAAGAACACACCGGCTGTCAAACACAAAGGCAGCGGATCTGCCTGTGGTAGTTTTTAAAAAAACAAACTCTTGAGACAGCTGAATCTTTTGATGGCTGGGAACAGAAGCACGGTCTGCTGAAGTTATTTCTGGAGCGAGGGGGAGACGGCCGCTGTCCGCGCGCGCTGCGGGCAGCTTCCCGTGCCCCGCCGTGCCCGCCGCTCCGGCTGGCCGCTGCCCGTCCCGTCCCGCCGCGGCGCCGCCGCTCCCGCGTCCCGCCGCCTCCTGCCCGCCGGGCACCGAGCGGTCCCGGAGGTGAAACTTCGGGAAACCAGTTCAGAAAGAACACCAGCAAAAGCCGCCCGGGAACGCCTCGCGCCCGGCATTCCTCCGAGGAGACCCGAGCGAGGCAAGCTCCGGGGCGATGCCTCCGCCGGCCCCCGAGGCTTTCCGAGCCCGCCGCCAACCGCGGCTCCCGCTCCCCGCAGCCCGGCCTCGCGGGCACGCTAAGACCCGGCCACCTGTGGCGGCGTCGGCCCCGTGTCCCCGCCGGGCTGTCAGCGCCTCACCTGCCGCCACGGCGCCGTCCCGGAGCGCCGCAGCCCACAGTCCCAGCAAGAAGAGCCGCGGCAGCGCCATGCTCCGCCTCAGCTCCATCGCTCCCGCACGACCATCCTCCCCCGGCTCCTCGGCTCCGCCGGGCCGCCCTTCGACGCTGCGGGAACGCTCCAAGTTCCGCGGCGGCTTCGGCCGGGTCAGCGGCGCTCCCGGTGCTGCGCGGCGCAGTTCCGCCGCTGGGCGCTCAGTGCCGGGCTCTCTCCCCCTGTCGGCGCGCGGCCGCGCGGCTCCTCCCCCGGGGCCGGGCCCGGCCCTCCGCCACCGCCTTCTCCGCCAGGAAATGGCGCTTTCGGGCGGTCATCGCGAGCCGTGGTCCCCCTCTGACATCACGGCATAAATAAATATACATGAGCGGCCCCTGGAGCGGAAAATCACCGCCCCGCCGCCGCCACCGGCCTCTCCTAGCCCGGCCCGAGGCGGGCAGAGCCGTGGGGCCTGGGGGGGCCGGGGGGGTCGTTCCCGCAGCACCACCGAAGGGCTGCCGCGCACGGGGCATCGGGGAGAGGACACCACTTCCCTCGGGGCCTCCGTGTGGGAGCGGAGGGCAGCGTGGCTCGGGAGCCGCCCTCGCCGGGCAGAGGGGATGGTGGGGGTTCAGCCCCCCTCAGCCAAGGCTCTGGTGCGGACCGCAGACCTCAGCACCCCTGCTCTGTCCGTCCTTCCTGCAGGGATGTGCACCCTCAGCCTCCTTTCTGCTGCTTCGAGGGCAAGAGGAGGGCTGAGGAGATCTCGGCTCTCACAAAGTGACCCGCAAAGTGTGGGGAAAGTCACTGACGAAACAAAATCTGGCACTGTCTTTTCACAGGGATTATGGTGAGAATCTCAGTTGAAAGGATGCCATAAGAAGCACAGTCATTACGGTGCAGCATTCAGCTCTGCAGTAGCAACTACAGCACTTAACTGGTGGCCCTGCAACTCTCTGTGCCCCTGCAATCCGCACTGGGGCACTGGGCACAATGAGGAGCCTTGCTGGGGCTGGTGGGGAAGGGACAGAGGGACAGAGTCGTAAGATGGCAGTGGGAAGGCCTTCCTGTGCCACGTGGGCCAGGCCCTGGGCTGGTAGGAGGCAGTCACGCTTTGCTGGAAGCAGAGGAACAATTGGAATTGTCAGTAGCGGGGGATCTGGCTTCAGAATGTCTGAGAAGGGCTTTATTTCAACAGGAAGAACTGCATGGAAATTGGACCAAGATCCGGCACGCGTTGCCAGTTGGAGTGCAAACTGCTGTGGGAAAACTTACAGAGGAGTGCAGCACTGCTGTGCAGAATCTGAGAAACTGGTGATTCCAAAATGCTTTTAGGAATTGAAGACAAATACTCTCTCCTGGCCATTGGTGTTGCTGCATTAATCTGTGTGGCTTTGTACTGCAGGTCATGACACCGGTGATGGTGGTGCTGCATTAAGGCAAAGGAGACAGCACTGAGGCACACAGGTGGCTTCAGTGCCCTCCTCTTCTCCTTACTTCTGCTGCTGCAGCAGTGGGTGACAACAGTGTGATTCCTGAGGGCATCAGGAGCAGCCATGCTCTGTGAGCAGGAGCCCTGAGATGGCTGATCAGGTGCTCCCTGCACAGGCCCTTTGCTGAAGCCAGCTGGTTCAAGGACAGCCCGGAGCTGCTCCCAGCTTTCCAGTCACTTCTACCAGCAGCCGTGGTGTGTAACAGCAGGGAGCTCTACATAGGGCTGTTTACATCTTAGAGAATAGTTCTCAAATAAGTGCCCCAAAGCTGGGCTAGACTGTGAGCAGTAAGGAAATAAAAACCCTCTGGGCTTCTCAACCTCTCACAAGGACACAGTCCAAGAGCTCTGGATATTGCAGCAGCTTTTGAGCACATTGCAAAGGTTAAACTTGGCATAAACTGTCTCCTTTCTCTGCCCAGTCCATCATAATAATGGGATTGCTAGAGCTTGTTCATGTCGGATAATAACACTGTTTGATGTGGCCACTTCTGAGGACCCAAATATAACACTCAGTCCTGAAATACACATCAGACTAAGCAGGCCATGGCAAGGCATGGGAATGGTATTTAAAGTTGCAGGTAGATGTAGCAGCTGCACAACCTGCCTCTGTGCCTGAGCCTGCTGTAACTGATTTCTGCTGCTCATTCATCTGAGCTGCATCTGAACTCTGTTCCCTTCTAATTTATGCTATTCTACCATCTCTGCCTTTCTTTCTCATCTTCCTCCCTAACACCTCCTTCAGTCAGAAGCAGTGTTGAAATATTCCAGCCTCTCTATTTCTTGAGGCTTCAGCCTCCTCCAGCTCTCAGATCTTCCATATGTGCTGGTTTAAACTTTCTGTGTGTGTGAAGACAAGAGGAGGGAAACCTATGCAAGGCTTGCCTTTACTCCAGTAAACCAGAGACAAATCTGAGTCTGGAGGTCGGGTCTGATCCTATCCTTATCCCAGGCTCTCAGCTCCGCCAGGAGTGCCATGATATCAGTAGGGAACAGGACTGGGTCATTGTGGGGTGGGTCTAAGTTTTGATTTTGTTTTGACTTTTATCGACTTCGGGATTTTGGCCCTAGTCCAACAATAATCATTATCCTAAGCCTAAACCTGGTTTCTTCCTCGTGTCTAGAATGGTTATTCTTTTTTAGAGGTGACAAACTAACACATCCTGTGTGTTACATATCTTTCACAGTAAATGCCAAGCTGTCAGAATGAAAATGTCACGTAAATCATACATACAGTGTTTACTTTAAAAAAGATTGGCTCATACAAATTTAAACAACCCTCCTGATGGTGCCATCCTCCGCAGTGTGTTAGCCAGGTACTGCCCATGTGAAAGCAATGTCTCTGCTTCCAGAGTTGAAATAAACAGTGCATCAAAACAGTCATCAAACCAAAACAAAATGTATTTAACATAGTGCAACAGTCAATGCCATAAGAAATCACCATATGCAGTTACATATAATCTACACATACTAATCAGACTTTACAAATCTCATATTACACAGATACACACAGAACTGACTCGGGAGGAAGCATTTGTTGCTAGTCCCTTTGAGGGATCAGCTTCTGACCTACCTACCATAGGGAGGCACAACACCTTGGTTTTGGTAGTTACTGTACTGAGATTGTGTTGGGTTCTCCTGCAAGTTGGTGCCCACCTCAGCTACCCACGTGATGAAATGTTGCAGAGCTTGCTCAGCACCTGTTGAGGCCCTGGGGATCCTGAGCATGGCCAGAAGCCCCCGGGCTGGTCCCTGGCTCTTGGAAGCACCAGCCACCCCTCCTGTTGGTGACAATGCCAGGCTGATCTCACACCTTACTGAAGGCTCTGCACCCACTCGCAGGGAGCCTTGCAGGAAAAGCCTTCAGACCATCAGTGAGTGGGCTGTAGTGGATTAACACCTTTTCCTCCCTGACGTCTCTCCTCCTTGCCAGTCCCTGCAGCTCCAAGCAAGTGGTAGGAATGAAATAACCACAAACCAGATCTACAGTCTTAAAAATAGTGGCACTAGCAGGGCACTGATCTACATTACGGCTCTTGATGATTGCTAACACTGGTGGAGCTGAAGGAGGTTAACTACATCTGGAAATGCAGCAGTATCTACTGCAGACCAGGCAGGGCATGGTTAGCAAAAGGCATGCTTTTTGCTTTGTTTGTGTATCACTACTCTGCGGTGAATGTCCTCAGCACTTCTCAGGGACATTTCCTGTGTCAGTGGACACTGAAATCTGTGCTACAAATACCTTGTTTTGGGGCAACAAAAGACAATTATGGGCTGAAACATACCCTCACTGACAAAACCCCAGAAAGGTGCAATGAGAAATTGGAAAGCAGAGAAACAAAAACAAAGAAGGAAGATGAGAATAGGGAGAGAAGAGGAAGTATAAAAACAGAGACAATAAATGAAAGAAGAGGCAAAAAGACTGGCAGAAATAATTTTTTTAAAAGCCTTGTTTGAGGTTTGCAACAGGTGACTTAGAGCCTGCAGAATTGAATTCTCTTTCTGACTTGACACTGACTGGCTGCAGGCCTTTCAGTATCTTGCTTGGCCTTGCTGTCGCTTGAGTTTCCTACCTTGCAGGGCAAATGCATTGCAAAACACAGGCTTTTTAAATCCTCTCATGGAAACAGCTTTCAAATACTGACTGAAATGTAAAAGAAAGAGTGGGATAGGAGGAGAAGCAGAGACTCAAGAAACAAAGAAACAGTGAGGAGTAAAAGAGTGAAAAGAAGGGGAAAAATAAACATGGAGATGAATAGGAGGAGGGAGAGAAGCTTTAGAAATGAGGTGGGCCACTTGGCAGGGCGACCATATCCTCATGCAATGCCAAGAAGAACTGAAAGCTCGTCCTGCTGACTGACACTTGCAGGCTGGTGGTGTCTCTGCAAGCACAGCAGTGAAGCTGTTCCAGAGCTGAAGAGCTGAGAAAGCATGAGAGCCCATCACAGAGATGTTTCTAAACAGGAGGAGCGTCTGACATAGAAGGGCTGTCCATCGTGCCCTTCTGGCCTATGCACGATCAAGACAGGGAAGAAGCGGGCGTCGTGGTAGGTAGGGGGGTTCTCGTTGACAGCCAGCTGGCTGGAGTAGGAGCAGCATTGCTCATCATGGCAGCCCCGGTCAGCAATGCTGCTGCTGCGGCTCCGCCAGAGGCCTGTCCTGTGGGAGCCATGGACGCGGCAGAGGGAGAAGCGGCTGGTGTTGAGGGACAGACGGGAGTTGCCACTGCAGCTGTGGAAAGCATGGCGTGAGAAGATGGAGGAGGTGCTGGAGGCACGGTTGCAGCGCTCACAGCCGTGGGCCACCTCACTGTACCGACACACTGTGTAGCTGTTGTACGCTGGGGAGTCGGCCAGGTCCATTAGCATGGCCTCCGAGTAGCTGGGGATCAGCTGCCGGTTGGTGCAGATGTGCCACTCCAGCTCTGTGCTGTCCTGCGTGGCATCCCGGGGCATGCGGTAACGGTAGAGGGGCTCCTCCGTCGTGGCGGGTGCTGTGTATTCCAGGCCCAGAAGCTTCTCCACGTGGTAGTGGACGTATGCAGTCCGATACTCTATGAGTACCCTGAGAGGCCACGAGATCATCAGGATGGCTGCCACCCAGAAAGCATAGTGAGACACATACCATGGGAGATGATCTGGGTCCCCGTAGGCCATCATGAGCTCTTTGAAGTCCACATTTTTGAGCTGCATGCCTTCCCTTACCTCCATGTAGTCATCCAGCCCCTCTATTTCTGTGAAGAAGTGAGCCCTTTGTGTCAGGTAAGAGTTCTCAGACTCGATGTTGGCAAAGCTGAAGCATTTGGTGAACCTCAGCTTGGTGGCTGTGTAGCTCTCCAGGCCCAGGAGCTCTTTGGAGATGTCCTTATATCCACAGTGAGAGTAGTCAAACTCAGCTTCGGCCACATGAGTGTTGACCCTCTCGTGGTAGACTTGGGTGGTTGTATAGGCATCACCATTGCGGTACCGTGTTACCTGCCGGGTTCGCCGTACAAAGTGGTAGCTGATGGCCTTCCACCAGATGCACGGAGTGGCTTGCTGCATGCGGTTGATACATTCATAGACACTGTCCACATCAGCCTTGTACTGCAGCTCTCTCTTGACGTGGCAGTGCCAGCACTCCACCAGGTACACCACATACAGCATGGAAAGGAAGGCCAGCGGGATGTAGACATAGCCATCTGAGCAGGGACTGTCATGGTAGATCATGGACTTGCCCTTGAAGGAGCTGTCGAAGCTGAGCTTGGTGACTCGGGCCAGCTGACACCAGGCCACTGCTCCCAGGCAACCATACATGAGGATAGAGAGGAGGAGGCATTTCCAGTGTGACTCTCTGCACATGCAGGCACTCAGGGATTGCTTCACAGGGCGTTGCTTCAAATCACACCACCAAGGATAAAGGGAGAAAGACAAAGAGAGGAACCTGTCAGTCGCACTGCTTTACATAGTACATATGGTGCCTTTTGCTTTCCAGACTGGGTTTGCTCTTGACTGCCTGAGGATGGGGACACCACCCTACTTCATAGAAATGGGAATATTAACTATTTTGCCAGAAAATTTGTGACAGGACAGAGGTCTGTGGACAAAACCACTTCTTTGCTTCCTCCAGCTCCCAGGAAGGAAGTCCTTCATATGGCAATGCCCACATTCAGGTCAGATGGGCATCCTGATGAGGGTGAGATGGGTCCTCAGATTCTGCACCCTGCAAGGAGCCAGCACCCATCCCCATCTACACACCTTACTACAGGGCCAAGAAGGTTTTGGAGCAGGGCTGTGGGTTTCCCCCTCATACTATGCTGCTGCAGACTTGGGGAACAGTGTCCTTTGTGGGGCCACAGCCCAATGGATTACACCAACGCAGAGCTCCAGTGCCTGGCAAAGCTGGAGCTACTGACTGAGTCAGAGCTGACTCAGCCCCAGCCCTGAAACCTACTGGGTGATTGACACCATTCTCTTGGAGGTGAGCCATCAGGAAAATTACCAGATTCGAGCACATTTATTTGAAAAAATTGTCAGGATTACAGCATGGTGCACATAGCTTCAGGCTGGTTAGAAGACAAGTTCCTACCTAAAATAACCGAAAGGTTCAACCACTGGGGCTAAGGGTCTGTGAGTAAACGTTTAAAATATAGCATATCCTTCTCTTTGAAGTCACAAAAGTCAGGCTGGGAGTGGAGAGGGAGTTTGCATTCTTGTATTCCTGCTATGCTCACCAAGATGGAGTGGTTGTGGTTTTACCCCTGTGATGCTGCAGTGAATCAACTGCGTTGTCATGCTATGTTGGGCTATAATAAAAGGCACGAAATCCAGCCAAGCAGCTAGCGGAAGCAGAGTTGTCTCTCTGCAAAGAGCAGTAGCAGCACAGGTTATGCCCTTGGCTGGCAGCAGCTGGTCTGTAGAAAGCATGTGACATGAGACCCCCTGCTCACCCAGTAGGTAATGTGTAGAGCTAAACTCATCCTTCTCGTCACTGCCGTCCTTTGCCTCTCCTTAAGTCTGAGAAAAAGACAGCATGACATGCTGATATTTGTGCATCATCATGCCCTCTGCTGAGCCTGATTTCATGCAAAAATAGAAGCATGCAACGACTCCTTCTCCCAGGGGACCACCTCTAATGCATCAAACTACTTCACAGATGCCAGCAGATGCTAGGTTTGGGAAATGTCTTCTCTTTTTTTACTGGGATAAGGTTCTCCCCTAGTATAGCTTTTCCTAAACGCAGAGCAGTTAGGATTCTGTAAGCAAGCTTGAATCACCCAAGATTTTAAGGACCAGCATCTTATGACTCAGAAAATAGTAGCACAGCACCACTAGAAAGAGTTTACTGTTTTCTCAATGAGATGGAGGCATTGGCACCTAACCTTGCAGGGCTATCAGATCAGATTTAATACTGCTTTTTTTTTTTTTTTTTTTTTTTTTTTTTCTGGAACAGAGAGCCACTTCTGAGTAACTATAGAGGTTTTTATGGCTTGCTGTGAGCATTGCCAAACTAGACTTCACAGGGTTAGGTTTTGATTTCTTAGCTTCTAATCTGACATTGTGCAAGTGCAGAGCAATTTTATTTATTTTAGGGAGCGACAGCATTCATCTGCAGCAAGGAAGGGCAGAATTTGGCTCCTGATTCTTCCTGATGCATCTAGAAGGAGCCTATAAAGATTTCTATTCTTATCCCAAGCCTTTTATGTATATTTGTGTGTCAAAATGAAGAATAATTATTTTGGACTGTATTCTTGTGACTAACAAAATGGATGCAGAGGAACAAAGCAGGTTATATGCCTTTGCTGCAAGCAGGGAAGAAAAAAGACTTCAGTATAAGAAGGAATAAGGCTGTTTTCCCTAACTTTTTTGCAGGAAGGCTCAAGGAAAGTGAGGAAGTGGCTTTAGGCAGTCACTACTTATGGCAGTTTTGCAGGGTGAATTCTTGAGTCTACATCCAGTCACAAAAAATTTGATCTTGTCCCAGTGCCATTCCTGATCAATGTAGGCTTCTCCCTATGGACCCATCTAAGGATGTCTAGTAGCCAGTTGTAATGTAAAGTATGTGCTTAAATACATCAGGAACCCCAACAGCCTGGCCCTGCATGCAGCCATGTGAAGGCTGTCCTGTTTCAGTTAAGGCACTATTTGCCAAAGGCACTGCAATCTTCTCCTTTCCTTTATCTTGCTTCCCTTTGACTAATAACTTCTCTGATCTCTGAAGCTCTGTGGTCCAACTTGCAACCCACAGCTTGGCTCCTACCCAAGGACTGATTCAACCAGCCCTGCTGGTTAGGGTTATCAGTGGCCCTACTGGAGTCTGAGAGCTGGCAGATGCTTTTTTATGTGCTTAGCCGCACAAAATGCCACCCCCACTTTGGGGAAGAGGGTGACTCTGGTCTTACCAGTCTCGATCAGAGCTGGGCTGGCGGCTGCTCCAAGGCTTGCTCTGTGGAGTCACCTCAAAAATGGCCATCAGCCCCCTGTGCAGAGAGGGATGGATCTTCCTGAGATGGGTTACCTTCACTGATTTCACTGTAGCTTGTAAGAAATGCAACTTCTCTCCTGGCATTAGTGAGAACATGCAGCCATAGTGCCTACTGCCAGACCTCTCAGATTTACACACACCTATCAGTCAGTTCAGCCCAACCTTCGTGTTCAGAACAATTTGGGAAAAAGGCTCTTCTTTGCTGCTGACTAGATCTTATTCTCTGCAGGTCCTCAGTTACAAAAGGATATCTCCTCTAGGGTCTACCCCACTGGCTGTCCCTCTCATTTCAAGTCTTGACTATGTTCCTCTGGCTTATATCTCGTTATTTCTCCTTCCCTTTGCTGAAACAATTATCTAACTCGACTATAGTGTTAGAAATAATAACAGTGTGTTCATAAGAAAGACAGGAAATGCAACAAATAATTACAATAAAAGCATTACACATTCAAAAGTCTAATAACGAAATGTATCTTTCCATCTATCTTTGCATAACAAATTCATTAGTATGCTAAGCCAGTGGCTCCCAGACTTTATTAATTAACATACCAACTTCTTGCAAACATGGTGTCTGTGGTACTATGCGGAATTTTCTCCTTTCCAAGCACAGTGTTTCAGATCAGAACAGGGTAAGCCTGTATTTTGGGACAACTACAATAAATGCTTAAGGAAACTAACAATTTCCATGATAACTTTGGCCAGACAGTGAATGAAAGCTGTGTTCTCTGAGGAATGCTGCAGCTGCTGTGTCAGTTTGATGTGGGGCAAAACCCTAACCCCCTGGAATATATTAGAAGACAAATGTAACTGAAGAAATTGAGGACAGCAAGCTCTACAGCCAGAGGCAAGCAGAGACTGTCCCATAACAGGCAAAAACTCAGAAACCTTGTTTGCAAACTAGAACTCACAGATTTGAGCCCAAAACATGAAAAGTTGGGGCAGCCCTCCCCTGAGCTGCCCTTGGTCCCATCCTGCCTTTGTACTGGGGCTTTTTGACCGGTCCTTTCCAAAAAAATCTCAGGCAGAGCATTGGGTCTGTGCCCTACTCAAAATGGAGAGGGAGCTCCATGTTCTCCTGAGCTCTGTTTGTTGTCTGGTGATATGAAATCTTCCAAGACACCAAATGATAGATGCTATTTAATTAGTTGCTGTAGATGCTGGAAAATAGTCTCGAAAGCCCTAGCTGCTCACAGAGAACTGGAAATTCAACCGACACCTGCAGCAGACAGGAGTTTCCAGGCTGGCAACATTTTGGTTATTTCTCCTTCAAGGAACTTTTGTGCAGAACTTAGTTGGCAAATGAGAAAGCACACTGGCAGTGGCTGAAACAGCAATTGCCTTCAAAGCCACCCTCAGATGGCAGATACCCAAGATCAAACGCCAGCATGAAGGGACCGGTGTGGAACCGGCACACCAAACCCACACTTGTCCCAGCTCTGCAGCAGCCAGATCGGCTTCTGGGTACAGCAGCAGTCATTAAAATCATTAAAAATTACTTTGCATTGTAATAGCATGTAGATTTGGGCTGTTAATCTTGCCTAATGTAAAGGGGTGGGGAGAAAGCAGGAGGAGAAAGTGTGGCCTTGCACTTAGCAGCTGGAGCAGAGCATGGCCAGGGGCTGGAGGAGTGGGTGGGCAGGGTTTCATCCCTGGACAACTTGTGAGCCACCAACATGAAAATATGCTCAGCTAGACTGTAACTGACAACCATCCTAAGTAAGCTTACAAGCAACTGCATTGAGGGTGACCAAGTAGGCAAGACATTAAAAACTGCCCCACCATGCCACAGTATCTCCTTTAAAGGCACATTTGAACTGTAATAACATGCTTCTGCATGACTTATGTCCCTGGGTTTCTTCCTCTTGATGGGTTCTTATGTACTGGGGTGTGGGTCGAGGCAGGCATCCTTGCTCCCCTTTGTGAGCATCCACTGGTTAGAGGAGATGGAAGGGATGCTAGAAGCCTAGACAGCTTCCATCAGCTCAGGTTTTTAGGTGCCTACCTTGAACGTCTAGTGCCTCAGTTTTGCCAGTGGGGGCTGCTTTGCTGACCTTTGGACATCAGCATCTCTGATAGCTGGATTCACCAGCTGACCACATGGCTGCACTAGGTGATGGCAGGGATAGTTACAATACAGTAGTTCTTTAGTACTCCCAGGTAGCAGTAGGAATTTCTCCTATCAACTTGTTATGAGTCAAACTGCATTTACATCTTAAGACTAGGAGACACTACATCTTCTCTCTCTCACTCGTATACTTCACAGGCAATGCAGTGTTATGCTACAGTCCTATGTATAGCCCAATGACTGGTAGTTGGTAAAAGCTCATCTTGCATAAAAACTTCCTTTACCGACAAAAGCAAATTAAGAACTTACAACCCCTTCTGCAATTTGTTTGATGATTGAATTTCA